CCATTGCATATCATCTCCCTGATACAGTCATTCATCAGCGGCCGCACTTTCTGCGTCAAACAAGGAGACGCCCTCTCAAATTCCAAACCAACTGAGGCCGGAGTGCCGCAAGGGTCGGCACTCAGTCCGCTGCTGTACAGCAGCGGACATTCCAAAATTCCAGAATACAAATCTGGCGCTGTACGCAGATGACACCGCTGTTTACGCTCAATCCTTTTACACGCAAGCAACAAAATTTCAACTCGCCCATCACCTCTCTATCCTTAAACCATATTACGATAAGTGGAAGCTTGGCGTTAATGGGAATGATATGTTTCCACAAAAAACATACCAGTAGCGCCATGCCCAAACCACTTATCGTAAATAACATCACAGTGACCCAGCAAGATACCTCGGCATCATATTCGATCAGAGAATGAATTTCCACCATCACGTTTCCCACGCTCTAGCTCGCACCTTCAGTGCGCAGCAAAAACTTTACTCCCTCATCGGTCCCAACTCCGCTCTTTCGCCAGGTAATAAGTTGTGGATTTACAAACAGGTCTTGAGACCAATGTTAACCTATGGGGCCCCTGTCTGGAACATCATCTCAACCACACAAAGGAACCGCCTTCAGCGGTTCCAAAACCGCATTCTGAGGGGAGTCCTGTCGGAGTTCAGGTACGCCAGAATAAGGGACATGCATGCGGAAGCATCCATTCCTTATATGTCTGACTACCTGGACGAAATCAGCGACAAGTTTCACCGCCACCAAATTCAAGGATCACATCTCACACGTAGCCTAACTGCAACAAGATTTGATCCAGACAACCCTATAGTCCACGGGCCGCCCCACAAGAATTTACCCATCTATTTTGAACCCCCAAGAAACCTTCCCCATCACAAACCTGCAAACCACACACCCAAATTAAATAAAACAACCCATCCATGCACAGCTAAAATCCAATCGCCGAGACAAAATTAGACAAGAGAGATTTGGCGCTGGCGCCAATAGCCTTAGTCTAAGCAGGAGACTGGCAATCCAGTCATAAGGTCTAATTTCAATTCTCAGTTCTTCGGAAAATTCCAACTGGCCAGCGAACTAGTGTGTAGCAAACTTCTCTTTCGCTGACTATGAGGAAACCTACTTGTCTAATTACCATCAAAACACCCCCAATTCGACCAACAATTATAGGCAAAAATTGCCCAATTTAGCTGATAAATGCTCATCCCAATCCTGGTAAATTCTTGCACCCAATCCTCCCAATCCTCATTCTCTGACAACCCCTAGAGCTCAGCTTTTGCTGTTGAGAGCGCGTCCTAGAACAAACCGCCCATAAGGGCACAACTTTTTTGTTTTGTTTATATAAATTATTAAGTTAATGAAAAGTGGGGTTTTTAACTCCTTTTTCCCCACACGACGGGCGCTGCGCGCTCTGCACTCCATACTCCAGCATCTACCAACATCATCTGGTAGGCCAGTGTAATGGACCAATGCTTACCATACCATGGTATTTGTTAGTGACCCTAGGGTCAAAAACAGCGTCTAAGGGAGACCAGGTAACGCTGCGTTAAAGTTTCAAGCAAGGATAGGACAGCGGCTTGTTGGTCACAACATCCGACTGTGCTGAAACATGCCCTCACAGCGCGCTAGGCGTGTCTGGGGCACGGTGTGCTGCGCCACACCGGAGTTTTAGTTTTAAGTCAATGTCCTAGATTAAGGTAATGTTGTATGCTTTTAGTTTGAGGGGGGACTAACCCCCCTACCTGAAATTGTACTGTGTATGTAATTATGTAAATAAAGAATTTTGAGTTTGAGTTTAGTTTTTTCAATATCTAATGGGTGGAGTTGGGTTTTCCGTTTTGTAAATGCTGGTATTTTTAGTTCTGCCCCTAAAATTTTAACAGAATCTTCGATTAAAAACCCTCGATCAGCGAAAATAACGTCATCTGGTAAAATAAAATTAAAAAAACGGCAACTTTCTGTAAAATGCTTATCACTAGTGCTCCCACCCCATGCCTCTGATATATAAGAAATAGTCCCTTGGGGTGAAATTGCTATTAAAAATTTGACAGCTTCATGATGCTTACAGTTAGACCAGCACTGAGATGCATTTATAAAATTGGATGGGGTTTCTGTGAAAACTTCAAAACATCTATAATCACAGACACACGATCTTCAAATGTATCCAAAAAACAAGATGGAACATTTTTTTAAGTTGGTCTCGACTTGGCCAAAAAATTAACTTCTTAAATTTAGTGTAAATTATATGTACAGTAGCAAAAAATTTTTCTGATGCTGTTGTTGGGCTTATACCAAATCTATATGCTAAATACTTAAATGGTAAATTTAAACGCAACTTCATTAAAGTGAGAAGAAGTTGCTGAAAAGGTAATAATGATTTTTTAGTTGAGAGATCTGGTCCTATGGATACATATAAAACACTTAACATTGCACTATTAAAAAGGCCTGTAAAATAAGTAGTTTTCTTATCATCACCTTCAAAGCTTGCTTTACTTAACTCCACTTTTTGAAGTTTTGACTTAAGCAATGGTATTTGGCTGCTACAAAACTCCCGATTCATAAAAAAACCAGATAATTTTTCCATAGTAAGGTCAGTTTGTACTGCAAAACTAACACTTTTTTCCTGAATTTCACTTGCAGAAATGTCTTTATCTGTCAATACTACTTCTTCGTCTGTGGTAGGTTGGGGGACATTTTCATTGCTCGTAGTTGCTGTTGCTATATCATCGGTATTCTAAAAGTGAAGCTGGATTTATAGTATAAGTAGCAGTAAAAGTGAAAGAGAAAATAGTCATTTAAAAAAATATAATTTAACCAAGAACTTGCCACTTGCCCCGCCCCCTTTATGAAAGTAAATAACATTTGAACTCACAATAGTAGTTGTCCTCAAACGTTTCGACATTTTTCTGACCGCTGCACAGATCTGGCATGTCGCTAACTGTAAACTGTAAACAAGTAAAGAAGTGGGTACCTATCCTTGTTGAAAACCTACAGGAGACTTGTCTTAAGACAAACTCTTAAAAGTTCTTCCAATTTCAGGGAACACTTTTTAGAGAACTTGAAGCTCCAAGATGCAGAAGCATCCGTTCTGCTGCAACAGATAGCAGCCTACCTATATTTGCACGCAAAAATATAGGAAATTTAGATGCAGTACAGCTACGAGGATGGTGTATGAGTAGATAGATAAAATGGATAGAGAATTCAACCACTAGATGTTCACAGGTTGAATCGTTTATCTGAGAAAGATAAATTCCATCGGAATGGATAGGTCGCGAAAGTATTGGTTCAGTGAGTATGTTCTCCACCGAGAGTCTCGCACGACTTTGTTCTTCGGAAGGAAGGTATCTTCAAAAGATTCCACCAAGTTCATAAAAAAATTTAAAAAAACTTGTACCACAAAACGAAAATACAAGCTGATACAGTAACTATCTGATATGCAGAATCTGCATAGTGAACATGAGATCACACTGTTCAAGGATTGAAAGAATAAAACCTGGAGTGCGTTCAAAGACGACAATGCTAATGCCAAAACCTACTATTTCCCTTCAACCGGCAATGCCAAATCTGGTGTAAATTTGCTGGAACGCCAAATACCGTTTCTCAATATGCAATCCAAACCACGTGACATTCAATATGGCGTGGCGACCATTCATGGACCAAAAAAATATCTAGTTTCTGCCCGACTTAATAGTTAACGTACTTAGTTAACAAATATTTTATTGAATAATTAAAATCGAAGCTGCAAACAAACAAAATAATTGAAATATGCATGAAAACCCATATTCAAAACTAACTTGCCTGGCCGCCACGCCATATTGAATTTGGTCTCATCCAATCAAAATTCGTATAACCATTTCTAGACTCAGTTGAAAGAGCCTCCAAAAGTTACTTTACCGCGGCCGATTTGGAACGTGTAAAGCCAACCGTTTTTGGCACGCTGGAGCCGAACTTGAACGCAATATGCCAATTTTGGCTCGGCTTTAGACGTTTTTGAACGCAGCCCTGGAGTACCTCAAGTGATCGTAATTGCACCTCACCTATACTCTACCTACTTCCCATTCCCACCACGAAGGGCACCGATATATCACTATACGCGGACAATTGTACCCTTGTATAGCACAGAAACCTAGAATGGAGTAGAAAAAACTAGGGGAAAGAATGCAGCTCATTTCGGAGTAGTGGATCAACTAAAAGATCAGAATCAATCCAAAAAAAAGGCAAATTATAATTTTTCAAGGGATGAGGTTGACCCCACTGATGAAAATCGATATCGGTGGAAATTATATTCCATGCTGTTGACTTTCTGAGAATAAACATGGACGTGGAAAAACCACATTAAAGAGTGCTGAGAAAGATCAGAGCAGTTATGGCTCGACTCGACCGAAAAACTGGAAACAGCGAAGTACGTTTAGCACGTAGGAACCGGTCGTTAGAAAAGATTATATTTTTAGAAAAAATCAGAGAAAAATGTCGAGAAAGCAGCCACACATAGGAATATAGGCCTAAGGATGGTAAGAAATTACGACCCTGCAGAACATTCAGTAGGTACTCCAGAAAGTATACCATAGGTGATTGACGAAGCAGTTGGACCCTGATCACTAGGGTCAAATTGGCTTTAAAGCAGGATCCACAAGATAGAACAATTAATTATTATTCTTGTTTCAGAATTCCGAGCTCACAGAAGCAGGAGCACCGCATCTACCAACAGAAGAGAACCTATGTATTCGAAACTATAGGAAAATGCACTTGTCGGCGGCAATGGTTCATGATCTGACGTACTAACTCGATAGAGGATTCAAGCACTAAATAACATGATAACTCGATTGATAGATCGCGGAGTTGGTGCTTCAGTAAGTATGCCCTAACACTATCTTGCTCATAGGAATAATAATTAAAACACGCAGAAAACATATTTCCAATGTACCTACATTTTACGTTCTCTTTCTGTAACATTCGCAGTGTGAATAGTAATCTTTAAGTATCTACGGTAATTATGGCTGCTGCATGCGCACAAGGAAGACAAAACGTGTTTTGTAGATGCAAATTTTCAAAAGCCATGTAACTAGAATTTAAAAAATTGTAATCTGGAGATGTTCAATATAAGGTCTGTCCCAGGTCGAAAACGGAACCACTCTGTATACGAATTTCTGATTCTACGCACAAATTTTAGGCTTTTCGCAGTGGCGGTAGTGGCGTCATCAGGTGGTTAAGTGGTTGAATGGTTAACCTACGTTTTCGGTTTTAATCGTTCTTTTGGTTTTTGAAGTTTTTACTTCTGTCGTGTTGTCTTAAGCACACATTGCATTGTATTTTCTTTGTTTTTATATTTTAAACCCTTTTTCTTCAATTTGCTTGTCTCTTTTTTTTTTTTTAATTAAACAATCCTAAATTAAAATTGATAATCACATTTTATTTCTAAAAACCCTACATCTCTTAGCGTTATTTACAAAATTTACTCATCACAGATTTGTTATTAATAACAAAAACTATTTCTAAAGATATTATTTCCTCAATAATAAAATATATTCTATTAATACATAGGCATAAAAAATGCTTATTTCGACACATAACAGTAAAACTCATCCCACTATGCATAATGCAATGACTACTCAGTAATTCTAAATTAACCATGTAATGGTAAAAAATATGAAAAAAAAATTCACAATATAAAATGGTAGTTACCGATTCTGAGAAAATAAACTTACATACCTATATAGTTACACTAAAATAAATCAAAAACTTCCTCCCATTATTTTATTTTCCTATGATTTGAGGGACAGGACTTCTGCTGTCGGTTTACGCATTTTCTACACTAGACAGGACTATAAACTGAAAAAAATAGGTTCTAGAAGCAAATCGTGTTAATTTTGAGGTGAAGGTATTTCTGAGGTAATTTGACCCCACAGAATCCAAAAATGCCTGTTACCAAATCGAAATCGCGACCGGAAGTGAGATATTCAAGATAGCCGTCAAAAATCTGAAATTAACTGTTTTTTCGCCTTCTAAGACCTATTAACGTGATTAGGTCGTCAAATTATATGTTTTTTAGGGCCAAAAGTACACATTGGTACTAGAATTCAGACATTTGAATCGCCTTCTCACTTCATTTTTCGTTATCAGGTTATCTTGGTTGATGGGTATGAGTAACATTTGCTAAATTTCGGTTTAACCATGGTTTCGACTCTGATTTCAATTTAGAATTTTTTGTTGAAGCTGTTTTCTCAAATGCGTTTGAAATTTTATCATAAAATATATTATTTGGATCAGTATATTCCATCTTTTTATAATCCACATATGAAAGCTTCATTTTTAGATTATTAGTAGATATCAAACCTAATGCTAGTAGGTTCTGTATTTTGGTTCAATAATATTTTTATCTGAAATGTGAATTATTTCAAGTTTGTAATCGCTTATCTGACATGTTTTAAAATAGATGTTGATCGTTTGATTGGAGTTTGTCACAATATGGTCTATTAAAGTTGTGGAACTCAAACGGATTTTTTAGAAAGATGCTTGAGAATATTGCAAACAATCTCTGAAAATTTGAACAAAATCGCATTTTGAATCTTAAAGTAAAAAGTCAAAATTTTCCGAAAATTTCAACGCTCCGTATTTTCTTAACGAGACGTTCGCGGACATATGTACCTATGCAAAAAGTGATTGTCCTACTGTATTCTATTTATCATAACAAAACACGCACTTATTTCGGACTCACACTCTATAAACGATAAATTACAAGGGTAGATAATCCAAAATATGTATGTTAACTTCAAATCTCCTGATCGATGGTGACAGCTATGTAATGTTTTGGGAAGAAATCGACTTCAACAGTCACACAGAGTTGATTCCCTCATCGTGTAAATTCAAATTAGTATCTAGAAAAAGTAGCAATTGAAATTGTGATGATATTCGCTTATCAGTTATCTGTAGCATCTAAAAGAAGTAGGCTAAAGTTCTAACACCTAACGACAATCAACTAAAGAATGCATTGATTGCAGAATGGCTGAATATTTTCCTGGAAGTTATTGATGAATACAGATACAGATAGGCTAACATGGAACTGATTAACATACTGATTATAAAGAAGATATTTTTCTGCAACTTTTACTTATAATAATTGTGCAGAAGGACCCTAATTTCGGCCACCACCCACTTTATATTTCCCATTTAATTTTTTTTTCGCTTAATTTTCTGATTTTTTAAATACTCTCTATAGAATTTGATTCAATAACAATTCCAACTTCTTTAATATCATGAATTTTATTAACTGAAACATTTAATTCCAGTGAATTAATTTCTTTTTGAAGATCATGTTTAGGTTCTTTATCAGTTTGTGATTTTTTTGGTTTTAATATTAGCATTGGTATCGGGTCTTCAAAAAAAAAACCAATCAAAGATTGCTATGGTTTTTTGAACGTATGTCTTAGCATAATTTTCCTTCAATTTTGTCAATGAACTTTAATGTCAAAAAACCTGACCAATAAAGAAACAATAATGCGACGTACGTTTTCGTAATCAAAGCAATCTTCGATTGGTTTTTTTTTTGAAGACCCGATATATTTTCTTCGGGATCCGTTTTGGGTTAATCTATTCTCAATACGTCAGAATAGGATGAAATATTATTTTTAGTTTTCAAACATTTTAACACACGTTTCTAATTCAATTTGCTGTTTCAAATATTTTGGAATACTGTGTGTACTAAACGTCAAATTTGAAAACAGCAAAAAATTATTTCACCTACGAGTGTAACTTTACCTCATAGTCAGCTATAAGGTAGACTGCAAAGTGTGCGGTAAAATTCCTTTACCACATAGCGTGTGGTAAAGTTCTTTCAGAAATTTCAATATTGCCATTTTTTGAAGATGTAGATACTCATAGGTAAAATTTTGTACCTAACACATGTGGGCGAGAAAGTGCCTTTACCGCCCTTATCGGATTGACCGAAGGACGTGAAACTGCCGTTGCGTGCGGTAAAGTATCACTTTCCGCATTTGTTAGGTAAATAACTATATTATTCGGAATGTGTTTTGGCGTGGTTTCAAACATATTTTCGTTCCTCTAGAGTAGGTACTATAAGATTATATTAGAGACCGAATTACTATCATATATTTATAAATTCATCTAATTACCTCTTAAGCCCCAACTGCAATGTGTGCAAGTCACATCAACTAATCCACACATATCAAATTTCAATTCAAGATCCACAAGACCACAAAGTTCAAGAACAACACGGAAATAGCCAGCGGTATAACAGCCGCCATCTTGAATATCTCACTTCCGGTCGCGATTTCGAATTGGAAACAGGCATTTTTGGATTCAGCGGGGTCAAATTAGCTAGGAAAAACCATTAGCTAAAAAGTAACACGATTTGCTTCAACGGAAGGCTTTTTTCTCAAATATAGTCTTGACTACACCGTTAAATGAAGATTTTAACTGCGTTTTTAATTCGTAAACCGACCTCTCAGAAAACTCTATGCAGTAGACGCCATTTAACCTAAGTTTCTTTCTTCCTCCTCAAATGTTTTAATTGCCTAGCCTGACGTAAAATTTCATTTCTAAAGTATTTTTGATAAAATTGCCTATTTGCCGAATTTAATACTCCATGGAAAATAAATACATTCATTTCAAAATGTAACGTAATCATTCTGCAACTTCTCCAGACTTTTCTGCAGTCTTCACTAACCTAAATTCGCCTTTTTTAGTCAATCCTTCATTTTTGCCCTTCCATTCGATAAATTCGACCATGGTATATCCACTCGCTCCTAAAATAAGAAGTCCGAGCAGCAAATACAATTTTACATCTATGCACAAATAGGGACTGTATGCGTATGTAATGACCGATCCTGTTGATTCCCAAAGTCGGAAATTGCTGTAGGATGCTTCTTCTTTACCAGGAAAAAGAATACCATAGAGTGCTGAAAAAAAATCAGAATTTATGAGTACCTAGCACAGCTGAGATATTTGTTTCACTATCTATAGCTGTGCAACATCAACAACAACAGGAACATAATATGTATTTATCAAAGAAGCTACGTTCAAATAAGGTCAGATATTAACCTGAATGTTGCGTTTAGGTCTTCGTTTTTGAGACTTTTTTTTAAGTGATTATGGAATGCTTTTAGATAACTAAAGTGGTAGAACATAAAATGTGAATGTTTCAAATAGTGCAATGCAACACATTAATTTAACAAAACTGTGTTCAGAAAATAACTATCAATATAGGTAATCAAAAACTTTTCTTCAGTGCTTTATAATGAATTAATTTAATCCAATTTTCCTGGCAAGTTAATAAATTGGATTACAGCAAGCAATCCCTAAAGCATTAATCAAACTTTAGCTCGATTATAAATTTCCATTGTACCTATTTGCTTGCACTAAAAGTAATGCTGATAAATAACATTTTAATTTATAGTATGTATAATAGCTTTAATGCCTTGCTTTTGTATAGCAAATTTGTAAAGTCAAATACCTAGCTCACTTCAGTTTACAAATATTTATCCTAATTAAATTGATGCGAGCAAAAATGAAATTGGTTAGTCAGCTTTCCATTTCAGCATTTTCAGTCGAAAAATTCTCACATTTTATTTTATTTTCCCTACTTTTTTTTGTTCTATCAATAAAATTATGCCACTCGATAAATGCAATTTTAGTTCCCTTGTTTAATGATGTTGAAATTGAATATAAATTCTACTTACAATTAATCTGTACCAGCCAAATAGCGTCACAGAATCCCCATAAACCAGCGATAATGAAAAACGTCAATTTAGCATCAAGACTTGGTCTCCATACTAAAAGGGTCACGATTAAGGCTACGTGCAATGACAATGCTAAGCAAATCACTGGAGTTCTGCCAGTGATTTTGATAATACTTCCGATAAAGATGGCGGCAACTCCATTGCAGACTCCGAAGCAGATCATGACGAATCCAATATTGCTAATACCCCATCCACAGGAGACGAATGCCTAAAATTTAAATTATTGTTTGATTTTCTTTTTTTTTTTGAAGTGAAACTTCTTGGGCGGCCGGCGGTCTGATATTTGGACCAGAATGGAGAGGGATTTGAAAGACGCATCACATTTAGGCCCATTTCGTTACACGAGAGAGAAGAAAGATATAACCATTGATTGAGGAAGTACGGGAAGATGCCTCTATAGAAATAATCGTGGCTTGCGACAAAAATTATTCCCATCTTTCCCAAATGAACGCAGATACGATCTTCCGTCCTTTTTCGGCAACGGTTGATGTCGGAAAACACATGATTGATATGCGCTGCCACCAAAAAATGTATGGCATTTTGTGTAAACAAGGATCGAATGGCAAATGAGAGGGTATGGGGAGATTGAGGGGTTTCAAAAAATAAAACAACATAACTATAGAATCGTGTTCTTGTTGTTAAATAGCGTTTCAGGGTCTTAAGGAATTTCTTATCTTTCTTGTGAGAGTTAATCGATTTTATTATTGCATGTATTTATTATACCCACAAATACAATTTAACTTTTGATTTGAATTTTGTTATAATATAGTTTCGGTAAATTGAAAAAAAGTTTGGACGGGTAAATTTAAGAATTATCAATAGTAATATAACGAGTGCCATGAAAATTATCGATAATTTTTAGGAAATTTGCCCAAAGGCATTTTTAGAGTGCCCTTTTCAGTTAAAATAAAAACGCATGAGTGCAAATTTGTCAAAAATTATAAATATATTTTTCTACTAACAATCAAATCTGTGTGAGAAAATAAATTTAGACAAATCCTTCTCGTACTAGTGCGAAAAGTATATTCACTTTACGCACTAGTGCGTAAAGTAATTTACTAGAAAAAAACTAAATTGACAGTGTCGACATCTGTCATTGACATTATTTTAGGCACTAGTGTGTAAAGTGAATTACTTTAGGCACTTGTGCCTGAAGTGAAACTTTACGTCTTTTGAATAGTGCGTAAAGTGAGTACTTTACGCCTGGTAGTAGAACATTTTTTTGTTTTAATTATTGATTTGAACCAATCAGATTGCGATTACGTGATAATAATTTGCACTAGTGCAAATGACAACGATAATTGCACACTAACTGGTGTTTTGAAAATTTTTGACAAAAATTTAAATTTTTGATTCATTAAATTCTCTCATAAAATACAACAAATTTGCACTCGTGCGTTTTCAACTGAAAACGGCACTCGTGGACTACGTGCACTCGTGCTCTTTATCAACTAAAAATGCACTCGGGCAAATTTCCCAAAAATTATCGATAACTTCCATTGCACTCGTTATGTTACTATTGAAATTTTTTTGACAGTACCCAAGTAGCACATAAATGTCCCTGCGACTACGTATTAACCAAATACAACGTCGCCAGAAGTGCAGATGAGTAACCGTCAATGATTTTTCGTTAAAATTACGTTGCGCCGTCCTCCTTAATATGTGGTCAAGAAATCGGACTTTTATCTAGCCCAATTTTGAAGAAATAAATGAAAGCCAGTTTTAACGTTAAATTGATGACGTCAATCCGTCGTCCTCTTATATACTTGTGACCTCTGAAACGTTTTTCAAACGTCGTCTGATACGACCAATCATAAGGTCAGTTAGAGGGCTTAGAAAAATGTCCGGCCAATTAAAATTGGACACAGGTAAAATTTGGTGTAGTTATTTCATACTTTTTGCGTCGTTCGTTAATAAACTGTAATCAGTCAAATAAAAACACACAAACAATAGATATCACATTACTATGAAAAGTTTTTAACATTTTAAATAAATATTTGCTTTTGTATTTCTGATATGGGACCTTCTATGGGACAAAACAGGAGCTTCAAATACTCATATTACAGAAGGAAAAAAAGATTTTAAGATTAAGTGAAAAGGAAGAAATGTATTCCAGGCATGAAGGAAATGGAGCAAGAAGGGAAATTCGAAGAGAACCCTGTAATTTCCGATCAGGAAATTTAAAAAGATTCAATAAATGTTTTTGAACCATCGGAACTACATAGGAAATTATGTTAATTACACATTTATTATTTCTTTTTGGAAAATATTAAAAAAATAGGAGCCCGTTTGTTTTGTGTACAGGGCCTTTCCCCATATATTGACCCCCCCCCTACAGGGGTTAGGTGGAAAGATATTGAGGAAAACCACCTATTTAAAATATTATTTCTTCAACTCTTAACTTTTTAAAAAAACGTTCACTGAATAAAAATAAATGTTGCAACCTTGTATGCGCCGTGAAAGCATACTGAAAGGATACCGAACCGAACGGGAGATAGAGAAGAGGCGATTAGGCATGAGACTAGAGAACAAGCTGAGCTGTTCGCTTAGACGCGTGTCTGTAATTATTCATTATTCAATTTTTATTTTTATTTTACATTAAATTGATTGTTCAATCCAATTTGTTATTAGTGTGTGTGTCAAGGAGCGATAAGGTCAGTTGAATAATTGTTATTTTGTTTTTGAGAGTTAAATTATTTATACAAGTATCATTTTTTAAATTTTTATGTTTTTTTGTTTCAAATCAAATCAAATCAATCTAGAGATATTGGCTCAAAAACAACTATAGCTGAGTAGCTTCCCGTATGGGACCTCAGTACCTGCTGGGAAACTGGCTAACTAACCAAAAACTCTTCAGTATTGAATATAGGTAGTGTTGATTGAATGTTGTGTGTGGAATTAAAATTTTAGCACAAAGACAAACGATGGTATCTAATTTAAACTTTTATTGACTTGAATTATTAAATTAATGACTCGCACTTATTATTAAAATGACACAGTATGTTTCAATTTTTGAGGAATGTTAGATCGATGGTTTCTCTGCCGTGCTGTTTCCCCTCGTTAGTTCCAGGATGAGAACGGTACGATCCACTTTAATAAAGAAGTAGACGTTTCACAAATTTTACGTTTCTTTTACATATCACAACCTCCCTTAAAATTCCCTAATATTTGCTATGTCGGGCGCATGTCCAGTAAGTAAAATTGAGTAAGTTTCCACAACGTAGGTCCTATTTATTTTTCATTTCGTTTTTCAGAATATTTGTTGTTTAAAAGGTAATAAAGATTCTCATCGTTTAATCTTACTGAACTAACCCGGGTATGTTATACTACAATATCAAAAAAAAATTAAATACAAACGTTTTGGGGTTTAACCTGAATTTTTTGAATCTGATGTCAAAAATTTCTTGTTTTTTCAGAAATGTTAAATTTTGACGGTCAGTTTTTTCTTATAGAACACCCTATATATGACTTTATAGTTGGAAAGAGTCTATTTTTCTGATTTCAAATATATATGATTTAACTACTTTTAATTGAGCCGTTTTGGAAATATGGGGCTAAAAACTTCAAGAAAATAATACATTGAAACACATCAGCTCTGTTTCAACCGACATGAGAACCGTTCTAGAGATCTAGAATGAAAATTTCCACTTGCCCTCCTATTTTTCAATAAGTTGAATGTTTATCCTAATTGACAAATGAATTGATCGACTAGAAATTACCGTTCTAGAACGGTTCTCATGTCGGTTGGAACAGAGCTGATGTGTTTCAATGTATTATTTTCTTGAAGTTTAGAGCCCCATATTTCCAAAACGGCTCAATTAAAAGTAGTTAAACCATATATATTTGAGATCAGAAAAATAGACTCATCTTTCCAACTATAAAGTCATATATAGGGTGTTGCATAAGAAAAAACTGATCATCTGTCAAAATTTGACATTTCTTAGAAAACAAATAAGTTTTTGATATCGGATTCAAAAATTTCAGAAAAAATCCCAAATCTTTTGTATTCACAATTTTTCGATATCTTTTCACATGCTCCCTGTAGTGGGGGGGGGGGGGTCAATATATGTGGAAAGACCTTGTACATACATATCATAATTATTTTTGACAGAAAGGTTGACTTTGTTTGAAATTTTTGTGCCTACATAGCAGCTAAATATTTACTTTCACATATTTTATTATTAACTATTAATAAAGCCAGGCGCCATTAATATTTTATGTCCCACAATATTCTTACAAGTACCTATTCATTTTGTTTTTGATGTGATGAGTTGGGAAATAAAATACTTAACACCAATAATAAACCAAAAGTGTGAATTTGGTGCAATATATTAAACCTAAAACGTCCCTTATTTGGTTTGGTATTTGTTTTTAGGTTAGTCATGGTTCACGACGTATAGTAAACGTCCAAATGTCGTTGTGTATGCTGACGTATATAAGTTAAAAAAAAAGTAAGGCCTCGCGACCTGCGACGTCGTTACAACTATGAAATGATTCTCTATCATAGTGAAAATAAGGGTTGTATAGTCGTCTATTTGACGTCGCGCCTTAACGTCAAGACATCAAGGACAACATTGTTAGGACGTAAAAGCGCTGCTTGGGTTAAATTTTCTTATTTAGTGTCATGTGATACAAATCACCCAATCATGTCAAAATTATACTGAAAACAGCCCTAGGGTGGTTTTCGCTCTATGACATTAGGCGAGTTTGGTTAATCCTCCGCGAGCTTAAAGATGACACTGTTAACAGAACCTCACGTGATCTTCCATTTGAAGTAATAAGACTGATCTCGTGGGCCAATCATCGTTTTCTCGCAGAGGATTAACCAAACTGGCCTATTGTCTCGGACATTGCTGTCAAAAAAATTTCAATCCGTATAGTCCTCGAAGATTGATAAATGCCTTAGAATTTTTATAATAGCTTTCGAAATCTGTTTATAAACTTTAAATTTTTTCGCACAATTATCAATGTCCTTGGGATATTACTTCTGATAATTTGCACTATTGCAAATTATCACTTATTCACAATCTGATTGGTTCAAATGAACAATCAAAACATGTCAATTTATTGTTGGTATGTCAGCTTTGACAGATGTATGAAATTCTCAATACACCTAAAGTCCGTCGATTTTAATCTGATACTCCAAAAAAATGTGAGCTGGTGGCTCCCTACATTAGAACGCCAATGGTCACCTGACGTCACACCTGTTTTTGCCATATAAGCTTCAACCCCCTCGCTCCTCATACGGAAAGTGTCAGATTAAAAACGACGGACGATAGGTATTTGTCCCTTGTTTTTAATCTGACATTTTCCGTATGAGGAGCGAGGAGGTGAAGCTGTGACGTTAGGTGACCATTGGTGTTCTAATGTAGGGATGGCTCCCTACAAAGCTCACATTCCTTTGGGGTATTAGATTAAAATCGACGGAAATTACCCTAGGTAGTTATAATGGTACTCAATTGACGATACCTCTAACTTGCCTAAAAATCCAAAAATTATTTCGCTTTCGAAAATTATGTTTAAAATTTGAAATTTAAAGCTCATTCCGAAAATGTGACAAAAAATACCTAACCCTGTGCACATGCCTCATTTTACTACATTTAATGATTATATTGTGGATATTGCTCATTTATCTGAGTTCTGTGATGTTAAAAGCTCACGTTCCTAAATATTAAAAAAAAATAAAATATATTTCTGTAGAAATATTTTTGTTGGTTTATTTGTTATTAATTTGAAAAATAATAGGGGTTTTTGACTATTTTTGAGGGATGCCTTCGGAATGAAATTTTTTTATTTTTATTTATTCAATGGGCCACTTTCACATTTTTCAAAAACATTTTTAAATTATTCTTTCAGTCATTCTAATAGTATCTGTATACTTTTTTTCCGAAAAAAACGCTTATTTTTGAAAAAAAAATTATCTAAAGATCGAATTTTTAAACTGGCGCGAAAAGGCGAACTTGGTTTGTGACGTCACACACCAGAAAATCAACAAAAATACGAGGATGCCAAATTTCTCATTAGTAAATCATTACACATTCCACTAGCTAGAAACTATTTTCGTCCTTTACTACATTATAAAAAAATAAAGGATAGGTATAATCCTTATTAACTCATTTAAATTTCGCATTTCTACATGTGGCAACAAAAATGTCAAAATCGGCTTTAGCCAATCAGAGAGTGTTTTCAATCACGTGATTTTTCGTTTAAATTTTTAGTTTTTATTTATCAATTTATTTAATAATCTGACTAAAATCTTGCAAAATATTGTTGATTCTCGGTTGCATTGATGTATCTGCGTCAAAAAATATCATAATTTGCCATATTCTCGGCACGTGAAATAGCCCATTCAAATCAATTTAATTTATTCAACAACAGATCACAATAATTGAAACATTAGGTACAATATAAATAAACTAGTTGATAGGTCTGTCTCTGCCAGGCAATGCAAATAAAGTTGTTCGTCATATTAACAGAAGATCATGTAAAATTACTAAAAAAATATTTATTTTTTCCGCCACACCAGACAACTGGAAGAAAAATGGACTCCTTTTTTTTCAGTGGTCAATTTCAATTTCTCGGGTTTTTTATGTGAAAGAAATTATGTGGCAACACCGTCTCTGTGCGAAGACGCGTGGATGGTTCGACGTGGGATCAGAGATACGCGCGTAGAGTCCGCTCCAAAACTCGTCAAACTTTGAAAATCTGGCTCCGTTAGGTTCTAGCCAATATCCTAAAGAACAACTATTCCATATTTGAGAATTCTAGCTCGAGTGATAACGTCAGAATGGCGCGGAAAGACATATAAACTTCATAAGCAAATTATATATGTAGATAATTTGGAATTTCCACTAGTTATAATCCAAATTTTGCGGCGGTTTTGATCCTTATAGGGTTGATACTTTTGGTCTCGATTAATGAATTTGATCCGTTGTTAAATTTAACAAGGTTTTGCATGGGCCAAAGTTTGTATGTATGATGTGGTTAGAGCACATTCAAACCCCTGATTATTTCTAACGGCTGTCAAATTCGAAAACAGAGAACAAAAGTACCGGCGCTTAGGGAACGAATAAAAACTTAGCTTAGGAACTGTTTTTTAGTGGTTTTTTCAATAGGCATATAGGTACACAACAATGTGAGGCTGTTGTAATTTTTTTTTCCTTCAAAATTCCGTATACTCGTATACTCCATCTTTATCAGCAAAGAGAGTAAACTAGCCAAGTCAATACAAAGCATGAATCGATAAAGCGCTGGCGGTACTGTGCTAGCGGTGCTACAGTGTTGCCGGTTGCCAGTTGTTCAAAACTCGTTTTTACGTAGCAGACATGCATTTACAGAAATCTTCTTGACATTTTAATAATCCAATTTATGTTTCGGAAAAGAGATGGACGACGCGAAGCGCTCCTAACGGCGAAAACATTTATTGGTCTTTTTATTTTCCGGAAGGTTAGGCATCTTCCCCTACTTCCTCAATCAACGATATAACGTAGAGAGAAGGAGAAAGACAGGAAGCGTCACGGAATTGATATACGGTGTGTACCTATAAAGTCAGGTAAGAGACTCAATCGTTTTTCGGTAAATTCATCGAGCCTATCGATTTTTATTTTTAATTACGCATTTTTCTCTGGAAAGTTTTCGTGAATGAGGTGAAAATCTTGTCTTGTCTTTCCTTGTCATTATTATGGATTTTGATCAAGTATCGGCTACCTAAATAAACATGTTTATAGCTAACCCCAATAAACCGAAAACGCTTTTTCCGAATAAAATCTGGTTATCGATGTCCCTACATTACAATTCGTCCTAGAGACGTTAAAGAAAATAAAGTGCCTGTGAACTAAATAAATGGAGACGAGTTGCATTACCGGTCTAGCTTTTATGTTAAGAAGTTATATCGCAAAATCTACTTTCGGATATAAGAGGGACACTTTAGTTCAAATGGCGTGCAATCGTCTTTATTTTTCTAGATACGGAGAATTGACGGACCGGCAACGAACCGAAAACTTTACGTTTAATTTACGGAATACAGTTCAGAGATCAAATTTTGTTGCACATATAAATACTTGACGGACGGACATGTCTTAAAGCGTCCATAAAAAGCAGAGCTCTAAGCAGTGATGATAGCAGTTAAATTTTTAGAAGTAAATAGTATATACAAAAATTAGGAGAACCTATTATTTCAAGTTGTAAAGATGAAAATCGCTGGGAAGTTCAGAAACATTAATAAAGCAACTAAATATCCTTTTGATAGTCCTCCTAATAAATTACTAAGGCGGGATACACTGAAAATTTAATAGGTAACTATCGGAAACACAAGGGGGACGAGGTAATTTTATTTTAGGGCTTTATTTTCGCTAGCGGCACTTCTCAAAGGATAATAAATTAGCTCGCAAACCAAATAGTTCGCTGACAAAGGCCGTTCCTTCGGGACTCAGCAGGCAAATGCCTTATTTAATTTAACTTCGAGATTAACGTGAAACGAACCACAAGTGTACGATAAAATACCTTTAATGACCAAAAACCATACTTACTGAATTAAAATCGGCTGCTATAAATGCTTGTTCTGCGCCTATAAACATGGTGATTGGCAAAATTAGTATTTGGTAAGGATTTGCCAGTTGCTTTAGGGTTACCGCCAACAGCCTGAATCCTGACATGCCGCTTCCGCTACCTTTTCTGCCGTTGTCGTACCTGAAATCAATTTTTGAGAGAAAGTTAACAAAAGTCACAATATCAAAATAAACAGCTCCTGGCATAAACTTTTTTAATTAAATCCGAAAGTTTGCCTTGCAATAAGTTTGTTACTTGACGTCATTCTGTGATACCCGATAGGCTTTCAGGTGTATATTGTTTTCACCTAACGACATCGCGACGAAGTGATTCTTCATTGGTTATTAATTGAAATTTGCAGAGCTGGCAACACTCAAAAATGATAAAAACATGATAAAATCACTGTTCGTGTGCTCCAATCGCGAATACATCTGCGACACGTATTGAAATAATAAAATCATCAATAAAAAAACCATGATAAAATCGCTCTCATGACATATGAAATGATACTAAGCCGGATTGAGGTGCCGACAAAAATCGACTTTGGGTTTTTGCGGGCTTATTACTTTTCTAGAGTTTGTTTTTTTGGTCCGCTCACAAAGGACAAAGACTCTACCACCTAAGCGGTACCATGAGCGGAAGAAATTGAGTGATGATTAACTCTGCGTTTGAACACGTTAAGGTTAAATCATTCAGGCAATAAAGAAGGAGGCAGGAAGTTCCAGAGGTGAGCAGTACGCCACCAAAAAGAAGCCCTTTATTTAGAGTTCCTCAGGGTAGCCAATTCCAGCACATACGGATGGGATGCCTGTGAGGTTCTTGTGATTCTCAAATAACTTCTCCTAGCTGAAAAGAGGCTGACCACATCCTCAGAACATCTCCCATGGTTATAGCGATAGAATAACGACCAGTTGGCCACCTTCAACTATGTTCGAGAGATTACAATGAATCGGTGATTGTTAGAGTATCGATCATATTTATTGCTCTTCTTTGTACTGCATCCAATAGAGCCAACGAATGCTTGGGAGCATCGCTCCAGATGTGGAAACAGTATTCCATATAAGTTCTAATTTGAGCCTGATAAAGGAGATGAAGTTATTCAGAAGTAAAGAAGCTATTGAACGAAACAGGAAACCTAATTTTTGAAAAGCTGTTTTGGCGATCGAAGATAACTGATCATGTCAAGACAAGTTGGTCGATCTAGTCACTTCAAGAAGAGATACTGAGGAATTGATAGAGAGGTTTTGTCCCGACATCCTTAAAACTGGGCTATTATCGGCGAAAGATTTCTTATTTAAGAACACTGTTTCTTGAGTTTTGGGTGCATTGAATTTGACTAGGTTGTTAAGGCCCTAGTTGGTAATGATGTCAAGATCACTGTTGATAGAGTTGATATGTTCTCGGGCGAGGCTTGTGCAAGTGGCTGCACTAAGCGATTTGTCAGAAGAGAAAGATACCATTAAGCAAGAACCAGTGTTGAGGACAGAATCGGGCCTTGGGGAATGCCGGCACTTATAGGCAGTGTATCAGCAGACACACCATCCACCACAACATGCAGTGACCTGCCTTCCGAAAAGCTCCACAGCCAATGGGAAAATTCGTTCGGAAGAATATACGATGGAAGTTTGCTGAGGAGACCTTTGTGCCACACCTGATCAAAAGCCTTGGAGATATGATATCCAATGCTACAATAGGGAACTTGCATGAAAAATTAAATTGATTATTGTTTCTTGCAAACTGTAGGAAATCGAAAAAAAATCGATACATTTTTTTTATTTTGTCCAAATATCATTATTTCGAAAGTTATACAAATATTAGGTTTCGTATATATAGATATAATAAGCATGTGCTACGTCATAAAGTTATATGCTTTATGACGTCATAGGCACATTTCATAGCGTGGTATCTCTGTCAATTTTTGACTAAGAAGAAAAAGAAAAAACACGCTTTGACTTATTTTTTATCGAGTAACGAAATCAGCGATGAAAAAAATTGATGCAAGTACCGTATTCTTGATTGGCCATTGTTCTTTGAGAGTCGAGTTCCAAATATGACTGACGTACGCCAGCAAATCCCCTGTTTATCTTTTAGAACGAACGTACTGTTTGTCAGAGATGATCTTATTGCCTTCGACGTATTTAACCAGTTTCAGGTTGACTGCCTTTTCCATTACTTTCGAAAGTACGGAGTATGGATATAAGTAAGATGGGACGATAATTGCTAGGAAGAATTTTCTCGTCCTTTTTCGGGCTGTACTCTGGCACATTTACAGACGGGAAAACGCCTCGACTGTAAGATAGTGGAAACATTTCACAAAGATCTGAAGCCAATAATTGTGCGCAATTTTTGAGGACAATTGGTGAAATGACGTCTGGACCACGAGATTTCCAGGTGTCAAGTTGCAGAACAATTGTCTAATAGTTTTAGTTCTTAATACAACGTTGTCCTGGTGAGAACCAATGTGTGGCAGTAACTGTGGCGCTCTGCCATTGTTTTCCATCGTAGAATTGGGTGCAAATTGTTTGGCAAAGAGATCCGCTTTTTCCTTGGACGATACTACAATGGAATTATTGACTTTAACCAAAGAATATTATAGTTAACGCCTTATTAACCCTTAACTAAAGGTGGGAAAGGAAAACAATATTTTTTTCCTTTGGTCTTGGCAAAAGACCAAAAGGATTTTGATCCGCTCGGGCAGTCCAAAAGTCGATTACGCACTTGTTGGTCGTGTAACTCTTTGGTCGCATTGGTTATACGGTTGCAATCACTTCTGGCAGCCGTAAAGGAAGATCGAGTTTGTTCGCATTGGTCTTTTCGCCAGGCAAGATATGCGGTGTTCTTTTTAAAACCAGGGTTTTCGTCATTGGTTGTTTTATTGGAGTGTGGAACGTATAAAATTATTTCGGTAACCTCTTATGCAGCCTGGGAGGGGCCTTCCCAGTTTGCAGCTTCATAAGGCCACACACAGAAAAAATTCTTGAAAAGTTACTCTAATAAATATTTATTTGACTTTTGTTTGTTTAATTCAAACAAAATGTATTTCACTCAAATAAACAGCGTTTGTAATAAACAAGGTTATTTGATTTTTAAAAAATATTTAGTTGGCGTTGGCTGCTTTAGCAGAAAGGTACATTTATTTGATTCAAAAAACCGATAAAATTTGAAATTTGGTTATTTGAAACAAATCCCCCGTTATTTGAAACAAGCTCATATAGCCATGATAATTTCACCCGGGTGGTAGAGGGGATGCGTAGATGGTTGTCGTGCGTGAAGTGAAGCCCAGCAGCCAGTGCCAAAAAGCGTGCCGATTTGGAACAGTAAAAAAAATTGTTATTCGGGTAAGTGTGTGGGTGTGCATCGCTTCGGTTTGATGATGTCGGTTAAAAAGCTACTAGATGAGTGGACACTGAGCCACATTGCCAATTTTTGAAGGTAAGTGCCTGAATGTTACAAACCAATTTTTAAAATGCTCATATACTATATTCACAACTTATAAATATATAAACTGTGTATAGGTATATGATGCGAGAGCGATAGTGTTTATTTCATGTTTAATATACCTACATTTAGGATTCATACAATAGTAAAATGTGGGTCTTAAAATCTGTATAAGTAACGATCGTGTAATTGAGGTTGAAGAATTTATTCAAATTTAATAATGTATTAAAAATGGCTTCTTCGTACCTATAGCTTTGTCCTTTTTGAGAGAAGAACAAAACTCTTAAATATTTATTTGGTTCAAATAAATAAATGTTTCAGAAATAATCACAGGTGTTTATGACAAATGAGAAATTAACTAGGCCAAATAACTAAATGTTTAACATACCTATAACAATATATTATTAGTAATAAACTAAAATTTTTACTGCACGTCTGTGACACGGTAGGTATATGGTGATTCTTTTGATACATGTTAAGAATCTGCGTTAAGCTTGAAGCAGATTATTTATGATTCTTGTTTTTTTTTTTCCAGATCAGCTATGATTTTGAATAACTCCATTCTTTGGAATGTGTTGACATCTTGATGACATAGAGAGGAACCTCAATGATTTGTTTACATGGATGTTACAAATCAAGGGTCATACTTTGAGCACGAGCGCCACGGATCTGACAATCAAACAATTCTTTATATTATATAATATTACAGTCTCGATTACAGTTCATATTTTAAGATTTAAAAAAGCCTTACATTTTTATAATCAAATGTTTTTAAAATATATGGTCAGGGTTGGATGAACCCACCGGGATACCGGGAAATCCCCGGTGGGCCTATCGGAGTGTGGGCCGATCTTTAGAAAAACATGATCTTTATCAAGATACTTTCAAACCAAAGTCTAAGATCATGTCATATGGTCAAATATTTATTTACCTCAAATTATTGAAATGCATTTTGGACAAATAAATGCATTATTTTAAAGAATCAAACATTTATTTGTTCCAAGAAGCTGCACCTTTGGGCCAAAGACATGGAATTGTTCGTTCGAATCATTAATGTAGTTCAGGTGAATAAATATACATATCTTTATATTTTTGGGCCTATTATCAAGTAAGTATAAGTAATATGTGAAATAAATATTTGTTTCGAATAAACAAATACTAGTTGGGTATCTCAAATAATTCATATATTTCTCCTAAGAACATGAGTTGTTTGTCGCATACCGAACAAATATTTGTTTAATTGAACTCCATTTTTTTTTGCCCTGAATATTTTTTTTTTCAGTGCACCCTACGAGGTATTGGAGCAGGAGCTGAGCGTATAAGTATGCGCGGTTATTAATAAGAAATTTTGAGCTTTGTCTAGAACTATTCAAAAAATCGATCTACGGCGTTTGGGTTGAACACAGAACTGTTTCCAGACGATCCTAGCAAATTAGTGCTCGATCTTAAGAAGGATCTGTTTTTAAACAATTTTTGATGATTACATTAGTTTATTCCAAAAAATTGAATTATTTTACTCAATTCCTATACTCATCTTCTTAAGGATATAAATTGCCAGACTTTCAAATGTGATAATTGTATCAGAAATCTTGTTAGAAAATTTTTATAGAAGATACTGGGTTATCTTTAATACTGACTACGCATCTACTTAGATTTCAGCCATTTACAAGGCTAAGTAGGTGAGTTGTGTCGCTCTCTCTTTTTTTATCAACTGTCAACTGGCAGAAATAACAAATTGAAATTAGAACTAGAGTCTGTTTGGTTTATCCACCGTTCACAGAAATCTTTGTACGGTAACAGAACAACAAAATTACGGCCAACAGCTCTGCGCAATTTAAACATACACTAAATACATATAAAACATTTTACAATCTTTTATTAAAAAATATCATATTTTCTGCATACGAAATTTTATGAATCTTTTATTATTATAATCCTACAGCCAGATAATAAAATGTAATACGTTTTACCAAAAGTTTTTTTCACGGATTTGCCATTTTGTAGCGTTTTAATTAAAATAAATTTATGTTGGCACTAGTTATGTTATTTTATACCCCATCGCTATAGTGTATCAAGAATCTAAAAAAACAACAACGAAACCCTAATTGCTTTTTGAAAAAAAAAAACAAATGATTCACTAAATGGAAACATATTTATGAATGTATGTATTTCACTGACCTCATGTATTTTATGGATTTTATAGGACTATTCAGATATAATCGCTTGAAAATTTCGGAAAATCAATTTTCAGGCAAAATTAGTTCCATACACTCGAACATTCCCTAGAGATACGTTTGACAACGTCCAACGAATCGGTGGCGATCGACCCTGCAGACGAGCATCAGTAAACGAAAGTTCATCCTTAGCAAGAAATGTTCCTATTTTTGTTTCAAAATAATAAGTACATATACAAACAGGAATTTACCTTTTAACTGAATCTACTCCAACAGCAACAATCAAGCTAGCTGCAACCATGCACACCAAATAAATTCCAGCGATGGTGTTGATTTTAGAAGGTGTTGGAGGAGTCAAATTAGGAATGGCTTCCAGTGCTGTTCCTGGACAAAAGTTAGCACCACAAATATCGCCTGAATCCCTAGTTTGTGTTGAAATATTAACTACTTCGTTGAAGATTTGTGTTACGTTGTTTATGCTGCTATTACTCATAGTTTCTACTGCCTCATTTCCAGAAGACAGAACTAAAACATATATTTTTAGGTTATTATCAAGAAAGGTACTCTTTCACCATAAAGCTATATTTAAATGTGTTCCTGGATCACTCAAAGACGCCCTTTCCAAAAAAATCTAAATTTGCGTAGATCAAGATCATTAAGGCAAGATTCAATTATGATCCACTTATTCTAAAGTAAACTACGCAAACTTTCCCTTGTCAGTCATAGCCGCATTTTCCGAGTGTTTCGAGAAAATTGTATTTAGATGTAGATTATTGTATCAACTTACCCGCTGAACTAATAAGATTCCCCCAAACTTGTGAAAATTGATAAAACATGAAGAACACTCCAAAAAATCTTGTAACAACGATATCGGCTCCGATACCAGTCACTTGTGAGTAAGCTTCAGATAATATGGTGAGGAAGGTACACTTTGCGCACCATAATGGGCCTCCTCCGAATCCTACTGCTAAACCAGCTGGAATCATGGTGTAAAACTTTGGATAAAACTGAGCCATGATGAACGGCATGTACGCCACAAACGCCAAGGATATCGTCCATTTGGCACCTAACCATCTTAAATTGAAAAAAAATAAATAATCCCAGAGTATTATTTTTACGTAGACTTCTTTGTTGATTATAATGAACGATTAGCTAGTAAAATTATTCCGTGTCTTTTTATTTGGGTTAGTTTAAATTTGAAAAAAAAATTAATATCTAGGTATCTCAAATATTATTATTGCGAAATAATCGTTTAAAAAAAAATATAAATGACGTATTTACCAACAAATTAATTAGTACACTTTCAAGACTGGTGTTTATAAATCTTATTATTCTAAGGCCCGGTTTATGCATCTTCAGATAAACTTGCTGGTTACTATCTGCAAGATAAATGTACCGTTCTACTATTCTATTGGTCGGCGGATAACTGGCCGACCAATGGGATTACAGATTGCGTATTTATCCGTCAGATTCCATACCTGACAGCTTATCAGAAGAGGAATAAACCGGCTCTGAAACAAGTTTAAGCAAAAACGAGTTCTAAAATTTTCTTGACATGCTTTATAGTTTCAAAAAAATTTCTATAAAAAAAAAATAGGGCAAGCGTCCTATATTATATTCCCTATGAACTTTTAGAAATGTTGATTTTGGAAGTGATACCAAAGTTCTTTTAAAACTAGTCAGATTATGTGTTTTCCCTAAGATCCTTCTATTTATTTAGCTGAGCAGGCGAATTCGGTGATCCACTATTATAAACTTTGAAGCTTGAAACTCCCAGAAAATAAAGTATAAGAGATCTATGCACACTTCATTGGTAGGCATAGGCTTTCAATTTCTGTACCTAGGTTCAATACCTATGTTCAATACCTTAGAATTTTAACATTTGTCTTAATTTTTAATTAAGTATATTTCCATTTGTGGTAGATAAACCGACAAAGGACATTGCATTCATTAATTTGTACGACTTACAGAAACTACGACCTCGCCCACTACAACCGATATGAAAGAGAGATATAAATAACGACCACAAATAGTTCCAAGGATGTATTTTTATAATGTATAAAAGTTGAATGCACTTTTACCTTTAGTAATTTAAAGTGAATAGTTTATGCAATTTTAATATTATAATCATAATTAGTCCGGCGCTAATTTTTTTTTGAGATACTTAATGATTGATAATTCCAGTTTTCAAATTAAATATGCAAATAAAATTTGACATCTTTTCCATGTCACGAAAAACTAGGTAATGTTTATGTAATAAGTTTGCCTGGAAGCACCTCATTGTTTCTTTAACCTACCTGATAACAATGACTGGCAAAAATATATTGGACAATATAAGCGATCCATAAATGGCTGCCAAAGTGAAAGTACCCAAGGCGGCTTCGGAGTTAATCGAACTTTGCAAATTGGAGGCGCCCCAAAAGGCCGTAAAATGGATCATGAAAGCGAAACCAATAACCAATACATTTTTCCATATTCTCCATTGTTCGTTCGGTCCGTATACTGGCCTGGAGTCATCTTCTTCGGCTTTTACTCTTTGGAATTTGGAATCCATGTCCGGCGGCTGGATCCTGATAACAAAATATATAATAATTTGATATTTAAAGTGATTATGTTTCCACTACAGAATAGGTGGAACATACACTCAACCAAATAGTAGCATAAATAAAAAGAAGTTGTTCTTAGATTTAATGAACAATTCATTAAAATCGGTCCAAAGAACGGTTTCTTTGATTACATGAACTCTAGGTTATTGAAGTATGAACAATTTCTTAATTCCTATTTCGATTCATCTTGTGTATGAACAACGAACATTAAGGTATGTAGTAAGGTTTTTGTATTAATGAAACTTTTCATAGTAACAATAAACATCGTTCTTAGTTTATATGTACTTTTTCATTGTCCTGATGAACAGACGGCATAATATTAATGAAGCCCAGATATAATTTGATGAAACCCTTTCATTGTATTTATGAATCACAGTCTTGAATACTAAGAATTGCATTCATTATATTTAATAATGACGTTTTCAATAATATATACCATATTCTTTATTTTTATTAAAATAATTTCATGAATTATGCCTTAAATATACTTATGATTTTAAATGGGGTAAAGGGTCATTTTTTATATTTGCGTGTCCCCTGTACTGATGAATATGAGCAATAGGAAAAAAGCTTTTAATGCAAAAGTTGCATGGTTTCTTCGTATCATCTTCCAGAATTGTCAAACAAACCAATGGGCATCCCAAAATCTGAAAATTTAAAAATCTAAGTACCTACTTATGTATTTTTATTTTAAATGACACTAACCGTATATTCTATTATCTTTCAAATCCTCCTTAAATCCTGTTTCCATAAATATATATTATATCTATATTTGTTCCAGCTGTTTTTGAACTATCAACATCCAAAGTTTCTAAAACAAGCCACATCAGAAAATAAGATTTGATGCTTTGGCTGGTTTCCTTGCTTCGGCTATGAAACACTAGCTGCGGTATTGAATCTTCTGCTTTTCTACCTAGTGAAACAAAACCATTTAACAAAAATATATCGATTAAAAAAATTACAACTTGATTTGGGATTGAGTATACTTACTTTTAGAGACTTCAGTATTCCTTAGAAATTCTGAGGAGCTCTTGACGCTTTTGTCTTTCACGTTCTCCCCGGATGACATTTAAATCTGTAGGTCATTTCTTTCGCATTCCCATTTTGAGACTAGACCGTCTCCGTGCAAGGCATCCAAGTCCTACCTACATAATAGGTATACATATTATAGAGGTAATAGAGGTATACAACTTACCTTTAGAAAAAACCGGCGACAGGTATAATCGACTTTCTATTTAACACTTCGAACAACACAAAACCGAAAAAACCGACTTGAACGAAGTACGTAGCAGTGCACCCAGAAAATAGAAATGTAATTATTCCTATTTCAACATATTTTTCTATGTCGTTGCCCGACTGCAGCTACCTTTGCGCATGTGCTTAGGAACTGTCTACATTAATGCTATGAACTGTTTCATTGTATTTATGATTTATCTTGATTTAATGGTTGCAGCTTTGTTTCTAGGAATACTTGCTTGTTTTAAATGAACCGTACATTGTATCAATGAATTTCGTTCTTAAAAGGATAATTTTCTAGTAAGGTCATATGAACCATATTCATATTATTCATGTTAATATTCATTTATATTATGAATATTCCGTGGAAGCTCCCATCAAAGAAATTTTCTTTAATATCAAGGTTTAATTTCATAATATCAATGAACTTAGTTCTTGTAACCGATGCACTATTCAACATAGATTCATGTAGATGACTATTCATAACTTGATGAAGCTTCATTCTTTATTTTAATGATAGCTGTTCATGAAATCATAATACTTACAGTTTTCTGTACCTGGGATTAATGAAAATTTCACTGAATCAATGAAAATGTAATTTATGAAAGCAGTTCATTGATATTATGATCAAGATTTTTTTGAGTGTAGCGAAATTTATAAAAATGTCCAATTCAATTGCCGTTCCTATTTTAAATTTTTTTAAATTAAATTCAACTTTTCAAGATAACTGACGGTGCTCGACCAGTCGCGTTAAAGGGGGCGTGACCCTAAAAAACGACTTAAACTACTTAAATCAAGAAAAAAATTCTACGATCCCTCGTGAAAACCGCAGTCCTATATTCAAAATAGTCTCCGAGAAAATTCCTTTTGAAGATAAATTATGCAGGAACTTGTGATGTCACAACCACCGAAATCGCAGTCTTCTGTTCGTTCAGTCCTCAGTGAACCGTACCCTATACTTTGAGTGGATGCAATTCTCTCTAGGAGATACCTAATTGTCTTTTGTTTTGAAAATTCTTACACGTGTTAATACTGTCCAGTGTGACGTCACAAACACCTAGTTGTAACTTTGAACCTCCCTAACTCGAAAACGGACCATCGTAGCAAGATGCGCTTTAAATATTTATTCTTAGATTTTTGCACTAAAACTGTCATTTTTGGGTCACACCCCCTTTAAGTCTTACATTTTGTCAATAGGGCATATACCTATGTCATGCGAATGTTGGCAAATTACACGTAGATTTCTTTAATTTTGGTCGACACGACGTTACTCCTCATGCCAGTCTTATATACGTGGTGGAAACATCGTTATGCCAACGTCATACTACGACTGTAGCACTTCCAATCGTACGACCACTATCTTGACAACTATTCTGACGGTAGAATAGTTGCAGATATCGTTGCAAGCCGGGAAAATGTATCTATACTTATAAATCAGTGGCTGTACCGTCTAGAGTTGAAATGTGATAGATTTCTGCATTTTGACAACGAGAAAAAAAAAAAACAAACAACGTGAAACGAGCGGTTCCATTTATACTGCCCGATCATCTTCGGTCGACCAACAGCGACCGGTTGGAATTTCGAGCCGGTTCGAAATTTTGGTCGACCACGATCGATCGACGGCAACTACGCATGCACAATCGAAAAATTTCCCAGAATTCCTCGGCGAAGTTTGACAATTTTGAAACATTCTGATTCATCAAGCCGTTTTGTATTATTCGTTAAAAATTCATTGGTTAAAGGTTATTGCGAGGGGGAAATCACTACGAAAAATTGTACACCAAAATTCCCCTTCCGGAAAAAATTCCCCGAAATTCCCCAAAAGTATTCGAAATTTCCCAAAATACCTACTAACTTTGGAAATTCCCTGGAATTTCACTAAATTCCCCTGTAGACTCCAAAATTTCTCGGAATTCCCCGAAATTCCTCCAAATTTCCCGCAGCAAACCAATCGTATTATAGTTTTATGACCTCAAGATCTATAATAAAACGCAAACAAAAATATATCATGTAATGCTTGCTTTAATCAAAGAACATAATTACCTTACATACTTAATTAATACCTCTTTGGGAACAAAAGAAACTGAACAACTATAAAGGAAAATGGTAAATATTGAAAACAAAACTAAATATATTCTTACATAAACTTTTGCAAAAAATATCACAAAATAGTTTTCGGATAGGTACTTGAATATTGTATAACAAATTGAAACAAAACAATCTTTGATGAATAGTATAACAAACTAAAGATAAGATAGATTATCCCTCGGGTTGTCCTGAGGGTTTTTCTAACATAATGAGGAATTTAAAAATATATATATATCTTTATGACTCCAAACAAATAATTGCCCTTAGCAAAAATATAACGCAATAGTTATTTTCTTAACAAGTGCGCAAAGTGATACTTTCCCGCACGAAAAAGTAGTTAGACGAATGACGCGAAGCGGAGTTCGGATAAGCTTTGAGTGTGGGAAAGACACTTTGCGCAAGTGTTAGGAACAATATTTTTTCTACGAGTATCTTAAAAAAGTAGACTTTGAATTGTTGAAATATTAGAAAAATCAATCAAATCAAAATCTTCAAAAATCGTTTCAAATCTATTGGAATTCTTCAGAATGTTTTTTAAATTAAATCCTCAAAAATCTTTTAACGTCTTCTGGGATTTCTAGAATACCAGCTAGAATATTTTCATGAGACTCTCTCAAATATCAAAAATTCTACAAATTCTTAGCAGTACAGGCTGGTCCAATTTCGACACCTTTGATAGGAAACATCATGTTAGCTAAGCGCTAAATTCCTAAGCTAATTGGCTAAGCACTAAAATCCTCCATTTTGAGTATTAGTTTATTCAGAAGCCATCATGAAAAATCAAGTATAGGATTTTCATGCTATATTTAGGATGACGTCACATTCAGTGGATTTCTGCTGCCAACCTAACAAAATTAAAAGTACTTTTTAACGCATTTAAAGTAGGGGAATTTCAGATGTTTTTGGTTGGCAACGGCGCGCGACGTTGCATGACTTGTATAAACATTTTCATTTCGTTATTTTTAGCTGTCGTCAGTATTATCGACAAGTGACATTCTAGTAAATTATAAGAAAAAAAAAAGGTATTGACAACATTGTCTCTCCTTGTTCGATGACGTCATCCTAAATATAACATAAAAAACCTTTATAACTATGGTAATTATACGTAACAAAAATGAGTGCGCAATGAGTTTCCGCGCGCAAAGTTCAACTTTACGCACGCAAATGAGTGTGCAAAGTGATTACTTTGCGCACAAAAGTAGAAAGAATTCACTTCAACTGTTAAAAAGTTACGTTGAAATTAAGAACGCAATGCATCCCTTGTTTCATTTATCTCATTCCCACTAAGGAGTATTAATAGAAGAGGAAGAATACAATGATAGACTGCGTTAGGTGCTTCGCGCAGGAAAAAATATTTTGGCATTGAGGCGCATTCAACCCCCTTAAAGGGGGTGTGACCCAAAATTAAAGTTTTAGTGCAAAAAACTCTAAGAATAAATATTTAAACCGCATCTTGCTACGATGGCCCGTTTTCGAGCTAGGGCGGTTTAAAGTTACAACTAGGTGTTTGTGACGTCACACTAGATTATCAGGGACAGTATTAACACGCGTAGGATTTTTCCAAAACAAAAGACAATTATCTCTTAGAGCGAGTAACTACTCAAAGTATAGGGTATGGTCAGCCGGTAAACATGTAGAAA